TGAGAGCATTTCTAAGGTCTGCCAAGTGGCTAGAAATGTTCTCCTGTTCATTCTGCATCTAACCATGTATGTGTCGATGGAATTCAAGCAGGGGCCGATTTCATCAAGTAATCGCCCCCGTCCTTTCAGAGTATTCAGTGTTCTTTACTGGAACAAAAGTAAGTGGCGTATGAGCAATGAAAAAAAAGTATTAAAATTTTCGATATAGACCATAGGTGGCATATTTTTCATAGTACACATTGGGTATGTGTGGCAGTGTGTGGTTGGAGGTAAGGGAATGAGGGTTAGAGGGCAGTGTGAGGGTGAGCTCGAAAAGTACTTTAGTTATGAATACCCATTGTGTACTATGAAAAATTTGCCACCTATGGTCTATGTCGACATAGTGTATGAGCGGATGTCGGCATAGACCATACGAAAATTTTTCAATCCCTGAAACAGTTGGGGGAAAAAGTCTTATGGTCTATGTAGACATAATGGCGGTTCGCGGTAATGTCGCTGTATCAAAATTTTTACTCTAGCGGTTAACGTATTAAAAAAGTTTTCCAGGCATATTATCACTGGAAGTTGTTATATAGAATGACAAAAGACATGAAATTGCGCCACTTGATAATATCACATTGCTCATACAAAGTCGTACTATATTAAAATTCGGAGGGCACATCTATGAACGGGCTTAGCAAAGGACTTTTTGAGACCTTTTATTGAAGATCTCAATTTCGATATTACTTCCTTCTCTTTGCTTTGCTACTGTGAGGAAAATCCCAAAGTCTCGAAACATTGCGAACTTCCACTTGCGCATGGTTTCAGAGATTGAGAACACGTTTTCAAACAGCTATGAGCATCTATTAGGAAAATCAGAAGAAAAGATCTGAACAACTGACTTTTTAAGATCAAAACCGAAAATTTTTACATAATTTGCTTTAAGGGCTTTCTAGTGTGCTTTAAGTAGAGAGGAGACTGTGACGAGATGTCGGAATAATGAACAGGTGCTAAAAAAGTCACTCACAGTTTAGGCATGAAACAACCTTTTGAGTTGTTTGGTGTGAAACATTGATAATATTAATTATTCGCCTAATTTATGTGATGAAACTAGAATTGAACCTTATAATGCTGTTTCTTTTATTTATCTTATTGAATTTTAGTGCTGTGTGATGATCCTTTGATTAAAAATATCTATGGCAAAGTTGAAACATTAGATCTAAATTTGAATAAATGCGTTTCCTTTATTATTACCATTTCGTTGCTCTTCAGAAAAACAATTTTCGCACATTTATAGGCTAGTCATAAATAGCCGTAATGAAATGTTATCAACAACGTCATCGTCTTCCATTTTTAATATATTATCCAGTACTGCTGAACTAAAGTCCATATGACATTTAACATTATGTAATTCTATACCCAATGACTTAATTTTAGAAATTTTGATTGAAGAACGCAATATCTATTCATTACGTTTTATTTATTATGAAAAGTTTCTTCAAATGACGAATTATTATCATGATGAATTGCTATGTTATAATTTGAATAAAATGATCAGGAAATTAGACTTGATAAAAGTGAAAGACAAAATTTATTCAAAGTGTTTTCGAATGTAGAAGTATTTGGTTTACATAGTATAGGTACAAACAATATGTTTTCAATGACACTACCATTGATTTTATGCAATATGAAGAACTTGACAAGTTTAAGACTAGATATCTTTGAAAAATTAACATCTGAATCAAGAACAGCTGCAGTCAATCTGTTTATCACTACTATAAGGATAATGTTTATTTGGAATTTTCTATGTTTCTATGTTCTCAACGAGAGCATGGATTGGTAAAGTTATTGAATAATATAATCTTCTTGTGTTGATTGATTATGTACAATTAATAGATCCTTAAAGGTAGCGCTTCTCTTTTTTGATCTGATTTAAATATTTATTAAGAAGGATAAGTAGTTTTATCAAGTTTTGACCAGACGAGCAGACCGAGGTCTATGGTACAAAGCCAAATAAATTCTGTGATATAAAACAAAACAGTTACGGTTGCAATTTGAGTCTACTTATCAAATACATATTAGAAGACCCAGCAACTAAGATCGAAGTCGAAAATCAGACAAAGCTATAACGCTGAGACAGTCACAACACTCTGGACAGCTAAGATGGTAGATAGATTGATAGATCACCTTAGAATTCAGATAGAGTTTTTCACCGCAGCTTTCATTTTCTGGAAAAGAATAGAAATTACAATGAAGACTTTATTTCTAGAAGGAAAATTCATAGTTATTTAGCGTAGAAAAATTCTTTTTCACGAGGTCGACTCTGTAAAACAAGGTTGTCATGGAGTATTCATGCTCTCAGTTGACGCAGCCGGCTTACAGCTCATTTGTTTCAGACATGTTTTCGACAGCTGAACAAGTTCTACGGCTGCTTTCAAATAGAACTTCAATCGATAAGCTACAGGCGAATATTACAGATAATGGAATTTATGTGCTGCAATTAACTGCAAACACAAAAAGTGGGAAACGCATTCCTACTGAACATACCTTCTTTAGACAAACTATAATATGTTCGTAGATGATTGGCGGAAGGATGGCATTCAGTGGTGTTCACGTGGTCGTCACGTTGCATCGGTTAACCAACTTCCGGTATTTGAAACATTTTACTTTATATCAGAAGATAGTTTGAATGGGAAAAAATCAATTGATGAAAATTTATCAAAAAAAGCATATGTTCTGATAGCTAACCCGTTAAAAGTCCTTGTGCAATATATGGGTGAGTGCCTCCTTCCATCGTAATTTTTTCATTCTATCTAGGAATTCTTTTTAGAAAATGTCTCAAATGGAATTAAACAAACAAAATTATCAACACCGCAATCTGTGTTGAATGTCATTAATCAAATGGTGGAAAGAACAGATCCTAAAATAGTATACGATGAATTAATTGCTACAAAAACAGGTGTCCAAACGGTGAGAAACGCTAAACAAGTTGAATACAGACGACGAAAATATTTGCAAAAAACACGATTAAATCATGCTGAACTCTATTCAACGTATCGAATTGGTCTTGCAAATGATAATTTTGTACGAGATTACACTATTTGTCCCCTATTAACAATAATATGTGCCCATATATTTCTGTTGAGTAGAATTTTAGAACGCTTTCTGTTTACCAAGTTGACTCTGTCAATCGAGTCCGTAAAAAGGACGTCTCTCTCTCTCTCTCTCTTACAAAGTCGACTTCGCGTATAAGCATGTTGTCCTTACAGACTCACTTTACAGACTCTATTTTATCAATTCAACTTAGAAAGGAATTTAAAAAGTCACTTTATCTGTACTTGAAACTAAATTCCTTTCCGAGTCGAGTTCCGAAGTGAGTCTGTAAAAACAACATGCTTATACGCGAAGTCGACTTTGTAAGAGAGAGAGAGAGAGACGTCCTTTTTACGGACTCGATTGACAAGTCAACTTGGTAAATAGAAAACGTTCTAAAATTTTACTCAATGAGCCATATTCACATCCTGGTGACGGCGCTATGTGTTGGCCGTCAAACGGCTTGAAAGCTGGCCGTATGATTGCATGTATTGTATAGACAGAACGCAAGAAAACAGTATCTATATGTAGCGACCTCATCAGGATGTGAATATGGCTCATTGAAATATATAACCTTTTTACCACGTCGACTTTGTGAATTGAGGCTGTAAATCGACTTTGTAAAGGGAATTTGTTTCTCGATAAACTCAGTTTAAAAACGTTCCTTTACCAAGTCAATTTGCTGAATAGACTCTGTAAAGAAAAAAATTTTTTCATGATGATTTAATCGAAAAATATTTTTCTCCTCTACAGATTCAACCCTGTAAAGAGAGAATGAAATTCATTTTTAAATTTCCGTTTTTACTTTATTTTTTTTTCTTCATTTGCTTACGTTGGTGGACAATAATATAATTGAATTGTGAATATTTGTTTCCAACTGGTTCAATTACATCAAATTCAATAGAAGGAGTTAATTATGGTTTTAAACAGTTAACAAGTTAGAAATCGATCGCTGTCGATCGTTTAACGCTTATTCTCAATTATTTACAATCATTTTATATAAATGAAGTGAGTCGTGATTATTGCCGTGCTGGTAAGTATGAAATCTGTTAACAAAGTCAATTTTTGTTAACATTAATGTTTACTTAAGGAGAATATAAGTGAAGGAGTCTGAATATTCGAGTCTCATCAAGATGGCATCATCATTAACGGAACTAGAATCTTACGATCCAAAGAAAGTTGTGCAAAAGGTTCGTAACATAGAGTTGGAACAAGAGACGAATGATATGATACCACAACGAGATCGTCCAATAGATCAAATAGAATTATCAAGGATATTCATCGATATCAAGGAAGTAGAATTAACTGAATCGGGTGAGCACTGTGTTTTTAAAATCTTTAGATAGAGAAGAAATCTTGCCTCTTTCAGACGTATTTGTGGTGAAACAAAAAAATGGAAAGCGTTACATAGCTGAATGATTGGCAGAAGGGCTTTACAAATATACATGTGCGCATTATCAGAAAGACAAGAAGCATGGTGATTGTTGGCACATCATTGGTGTTAGAAGAAAACTAAACATTACACTGATTCAACCCACACAAACACTCACACTTTCATCTGCTCGAAAAGGTCACAATACTAAACTTGGTATTAAAAAGACTGGAACAAAATAGAGCACAATCCTGGATAAAGAAAATGTGAGTGTCTTGCTTTTTTGCTCCAAATTATTTCTTTTTTTTTCTTCAGATCGATGAACCAATATAGATAACAATGAAAACACTGAAACCAAAAAAGACGATTGTGAGAAAAGTAAGTTCCTACTATCTAGTGCTTTCAGAGATTTCAGGGATTCTACTGAATTTTAGCGCAAACGATCATCAAAATCGTCGACAAATATTCCGAATCGAGATGCGGTGTCTCAGTTGCTGAAAGCAAGACTATATTTACAACCTTGAGTGTGATTATTCTTTACTTTCTCCTTACTCTAGCACGTAGCATTATCAAACATGACAAATCAGCATCTACAAAATATTCCAGTCACATGACTTCCTCAAGTTCATCTTCCATCTACAACATCTTTAGCTCTCACTACACCATCAACGTTATCAGGAATACCATTCAATAAAATTCCAACATCGCAATTAGCTCAACTATTCCAATTTGCGCAACAAAATTCGTCAGTTCAAATTACATTTGTTCAATCCAAATATTAGACATTTAACACTTCGTATTTTTGCTTGTTAAATAGTAATTTTGTACAGAAATGCTCTCGACATTTGCATCTCTTTATTTACATCTTTTTATTTTTATGATCGTTTTTTACTATGGCTTTCGT